CTGCTGCTGCTGGTTGCTGCTGCTGCTGGTTGCTGCTGCTGCTGGTTGCTGCTGCTGCTCCTGCTGGTTGCTGCTCCTGCTGGTTGCTGCTGCTGTTTGGCTGTTGCTGTTGCTACTTCTTGCTGGTTGCTGCTGTTGCTTGAATCCTGAAGACTGCTGCTGCTGCTTTGCTGTCCCCCCTCTTTCAATTTCGTCTGCGCAACCCCCCAAAAACTGAACGAAAACGAAGGGTTGTGGAGGCCAAACTTGTGTGAGCTTTGGCGCTTTGCTGCTGCTGCTGCTGCTTTCTGCTTTGCTGTGCTGCTACTGCTGCATTGCTGGTTTGCTGCTGCTGCTGGCTGCTTGTTTCTGCTCAGATCACTACCAAGCTCTCCGCGGCGCAGGGTGGAGTCGAATGGGGGGGGGCCCCCCCCCGACATTTAAAACCAACTCTTAAACGACCGAAATCAAGCACAGGAGCTCGTGACCACCCCCAATACATTGCTAAAGCAAGGCAACTCAGGTAGCGTAACCGCTACCTTTCGTGAACAGATATAGTATGGGCTCCAAAGCGACGTGATGGTGGTGATGATGGTTAGTGGTGGTGGTGGCGATGATGATGGCGGTGGCCGTGGTGGTGATGGTGGTGGCGGTGGTGAAGGTGAAGAGCGCAGTGAGCGCAGTCTCGGAGCACAGTCTCGAAGAGCGCCCGCTCGCACCCACCAGATTCTGCGAGCCTGCGGAGTCGACATACACTTCGAAGATTTCGAGGCGAATGAGTGCACTGTAAATAGCATTGAGTTAGCCGGACTCGCCGACACACCCCTGCAATCAAACCCCGGCCTTAACCGCTACCGTAAGAATCCCTAGTGTTACCAGTGTTTGGGGAATAACTGCACATAGCATTTTCATATAGTCCCTTTTGCTCTGGAAGGCACATGTCTGGGAACAATTCTAGCAGCTCTGCAGACTGCATGTTTGGTCCTGCTACCTCGGTCTCTAAGTGCAGCTAAGGCCAATTTGCTCGCCCATTTTGACAAAGGACCTCAAAGGCAAAGAAACACCTGCATCCATTAGCATTGCCAGGTTCACAAAATCGGGAGCTCTTCTTTAGACCTCTTGCGGATTCTTGCGGGGCGTATAAGCTTCACCTGCAATATGCCACCTGAAGCCAGCTAAGTGTAAGCCAAGCAGCTCTATACCACGGGCAGAGGCATCCAGCAAATCAGGGTCCCATCCAACAGCGCCAGGCTCGGTTACAATGACGCCTCAGATCTTTCGGCTGCAGTGCCCACCAGAGACAAACTTCACAACCGGATGACAGAATAGAATGGAGCAACGATAGAAGCATGTGAAGGAAAAAGAATGAACAGGACATGGACATGGAAACAACACTCATGTTTACATTTACGGTGTGTATATATATATAATATATACAAATCAAGCTTTTTGTCTACTGTGTTGCGTGGGCCAAAATAAGTATATAAAAGAAAGCCGACGCTTCCTGAAATCTGCCAAGAAACACGTGGAGCCCCCATACCTTACACCAGGTGTTCCAGCGGTGACTCTTTCGCTTGAGATTAAACTCGTTGAAAAGGAGCCTCAAGAAAAGGTATGCAATGTAAAGGTACTGAAAATACCCATAGCAGTCTCCTTTGGCAAAGGTTGATCCCACCTGCGCAGACCGCTCAGGAAAGCACAAGCTGAAAGGGGAACACCAACAGGTGGCAGGCCTCTTTCAGCAGTTCAACTGAACCAACCAGGGTGGCGCCAACTGCCACGAAGGCAACTTGGCCGAAGCTAGGGTGCTGCAACCGGGTCACCTCAGGCGATAGCCCACGGTCACTGAACGGAATCTGCAGGAGCAAACTCATCTGCAAACCCTCAACCGAGACAACTGACATTAGCCGGGGTCCTCTAAAACTTTTGTTTTGACAAAGCCGTTGAATAGTCGAAAGTCATGGCTTTCACAAGGGCGAGCAATTGACTTCAAACTCACAAAGAAGGGAACTGACGCACGCAGTGCTTTGGACAAGTCCAAAGGAAAACAATCATTTTATCCTGAGTCCACACCCTAAATTACGCACGTGCACCATATCCCGGTTAGTCCTTGCCAGGGCAAACTGGGAAATAGGCTAGCTTTTTCAACGACCATACGGGCCATGCGATACAGTACAACTGGTGACATTTGCATGGCCAAGTAGCTGATCTGCAGTTCTCGGTAAGGACGTCGATATTGGGATTGTTGACGGCTAAGGGGTTGACTGAATAGTACTCGCCGGCCAGGAAATTTTGGTCTATCACCTGCCACATTCTTGCAACCTCTTTGATTGAAGTTTGCTTTGATTTATGGCTCGAAACGAATTGCTCTGAAAGGCTGCTAAGTTTAAACTTGCAAAAGTCTCGGCCTCCCCTGGGCCGCACGGAAAGTGGAAGCGATGGTAGTCCTGTGGAACTGTTACTGTCACACCAGCTTTTTGACGCTCCTTCTGTCAGGTGACTTGGTCTAGAACGCACTGCAATGCACCCACGGCCCACGGCAATCCCGGGGCACAAAATTGCTACTTCCAATCAACCTAAATCTGATTTAGAACAAAGAACAAAGAACATCAAACAACCATCCAAATGAAACTCTTGTGGCAGTGAAGGTGCGGCCGAACAAAGCACCTTTTCTCAAAGGTCTGCGAAAACGTGACAGGTCAAGTGGACAAACGCTCAGTCGCAAGGCTTTTACATGAATAATTCACACTGCTGTAATTTTACTTTTTGTCCGCCCGTTTCACGTAAGGTCGAGCAAGCCACTCAGTGAACGCGGCCAAAAGCTCTGCGCTCTTTGTGAGTTCGTCCGCCCACATCATCCGTTTGGAGTCTATGTCGAGGATCTCGAGGGAGGATGTAGTCCTGGATGCTCCTCACAGCTATTTGTAGTTCTCTTTTCGCTCAAGGAAGAGTTGGGGTTGAGCGCAGCGTCATACAGACTTTTGCAGTCTCTCACCTGAAGTTGGCGCTTTCGCCGCTCTGAGCGCCCATCCACCTTGCCGTAAGTAGAGGAGTTCAGTCATGTATAGTGGTTCATGAACGCCGCCCGTCTCGTCCATCGCGCTGGCCTCGGAGGCCATAGTGCTCCTGGTCACTCGTGGTGACCTTGCGCTCTTCCAGTCCACGATTGTGGCTCGTGTCCTGGTCTCCAATTAAGCGCGTCTCACTGGCCAGAAGATGGTGCCAAGGGAGAACAGAGCAGAGTGCAGGTTTCTTCAGGGCAGACGCCCACAGAGTCTCAGGTCTATCCTGAGCGTATGGTCAAGGCCATCCTCCAGGGACTTCAAGCGAGCCAAACAACGTGATCCACATCGCTTCCAACCAGTTCACTATGCGCTGTACGCTCAGCCAGTGAGCGACGAGGACCGGAGAGCTGGTCTTGAATCTGTGAAGATCATTTTTCGCTCAACACCGACCAAGTCCCTGAACCTACCTGATGGTCATGACATCCCCAAAGAAGTGGCTCAGCTCAGCTCCCTCGAGCGCAAGCAGCCTTCACACCCGTGAGGAGACGATTTCCAATGGACGTTCCCACCGTACCGTGGGGCGGCGCTCCCTATACAACGACAACGCCCTTGAGCTGAGTCAGAAGAGCTGAGCACAATGGACTTTCCCAAAGCTCGCTTCGCCAAACCTGTTGCAGTGGCTCTCCTGTTCTATGGCTATGCCGAAGATGACAACACAGGCACCACAGCAACGGAAGAAACCCGACCGGAGATGCACATCCCAGGTCTCTGAACGGACATTTTTTTCCCAGATCTAATCTAAATCTACCGCAAAAGATCCCCAGGCACCTTCAGACCAGATAGCACGACTGCACATCAAGCAGGCCACCCATCCAAGCAGGAAATGATCCGTGTTTTCACCCTGCACGGGCACGTCACACCCGAGGTGTTGACACGCCTTCAACATTTTCAGTGCGGATCCTGCAAGCGGACACAACAACCAACAACAACCCCCGCGACTTAGCGGGTCAGAACCATTTCTTTCTCGGCCTGGTAGATATATGACCATTGGATATCAACGAGCTGGGCGCAACTCTGGCTACAACCCTTTGGCCATCGGGACCATCGACATCCTCAGGCATATTGCCGAGAGGATGATTGATGCAAGAGGCGCGTCAGACGCCCAAGCGCTCGACGTGCTGATGAGGGCCGCGTGTCAAGCAGTCATTACAAGCGCCGCCTCACAGGGACGCAGCCCTTACCTACCTGTGTTCGGCAAAGTGCCCAGGTTTCCCGGCGACTTGCTTGGAGACAAGAGCAGTTTTTGCCAACCGCGACTTCACCTTTGATGAGGAGCCCCCGCGCGCAGGCCTTGGGCATCACACGTCATCAGACGTGCCCTAAGTACTGAGGAAGACAGCAACCTCTCGAGGCGAAGTGCAAAACATACACCCATTGGCGGCCTACTGGAGGTGGACAAAGAAAGCAAACGAAGAAAGAGAGGCGGCTACATATTAGCCCGACTGATGAGCCATGATCCGGATGGCAAAAGTGCATGGCTTCACAACGGCAACAGTGTGGTACAGCTGCGCCCTGCTTACATGTGGCAAGACAAACGCGGACCAGGGCCGGGCTGCCACCAGAAGAACCAATGGACGCTGATGTGACCAGTCCTGATGACACAAGCAGACAGAGGCACAATGGCTGAAGTCCATCCAAAGAAGCCAAAGCAAGCAACCTTACCGGAACGAAAGCTCTTGACCGAGAGATTCCCTGGCGAAGCATCACGACGCAGGGCAAAGAGGTCATCGAAGCCGATGTCCAGGCAAACCAAAAGGAGCGCAACTCCTGGCTCTCTTGGGCAAGTTTGGATCGCGCAAGACCCATGTCGAGCAGCCGAAGTCGTTCTGGCTTCAGGCCTCAACGGAAGAGCTGGACAACATGAACTCCCACTGTTCATGAAAGCCCCGCATGACAGGATACAGAAGCTGGCCGGCGCCTTTGAAGCTGACCTCTACGAGGTGTGTGGAAACCTGTATGGTTTTGCTTCCGCGCCGAAGACTTGGTGCAACCACGTGGTTCGCATCCTCCTCAACATGATTCACCTGACGCAGCGCGTCTCCTTCTAGAAGCTGGACCCTCACGCTCATGGCCATCGTCCACGTAGACGACTTCCTCGTCACGTACAGAGAGGATTTGGAAGCGCTGACGCAACACTTCACTTGGCGCTCACAGATTCTGCTGTCGGAAGAGACACCGATCATCTTCCGTGGGTCCTCTGCCAGGAGAACGGCTTGTAAGGCCTTCATCGATGACGAGGTCAACACCAGCACGATCTCCAAGCAGCGGCTCTAAGGAAGAAGCCAAGTTGACTTCTGACGAACGGAAGGAGTACCGAAGCTGCGATGGAAGCCCGCAATGGCTTGGGGGCCAGACCAGGCCCGATGAAGCGCGGCCTTGACTTGAGACCACCACCAATTGGTCCCTTTACGAATGCGTCAAGATCGTGAAGGACACGACGGGTGAACTGGGCTTGACCTACCAGTACTTCCCGGTCCCCTTCAACAAGGCCAGGTTCCTGGTGGACAGCAGCTGGGCGAACGCACCTGGCCATAAAAGCCAGATGGGTGTACTGGTACTTGTGATCGATTGCCTTTGCAGTTTGCACGGAGTTGGTGAGGATCTTGTAAGGTCTTGAGGATGAGGGAACCGTCGGAGTCGACGGCACCGAAGGCACCTGCGTCGCACAGGGCAACCTGCGTGTCTGGGGAGCTCCTTGATCTCTGGTTCTCGCCAGAGCCGACTCTTATAGGCGTTCTCCAGGAAGTAAAGATTTTCATTGTGTTCAGCTGCTTGTGACATTGCTTCACTGTCCATTTCAAAGTGGGACGTTGTTGCTGCTGTAGATCTTCAAGTTTCCTGTGGCCGCCACGCGTAGTTGGCGTTTTCACACGTAACGCTCCACTGGGCGCATGGGAAGCCTATTAGGAGAAGAAGCGGACTGAACTTGTCGATGGCATCTTGGAAATAGTTTTGGTGTTTGCGGGCGCTCAAGTCATAGCCGTCAATCTTGTCGAAGGGCTGTCTGTCGGCCGAGCAGCGGCGCTGTAGGGCTCCATGCGGTCCACTTTTTTCTTGGAGATGTAGGCGGCGGTCTGCTCGAGAACTTGTACTTCAGGTTGATGTTCGAGCATCTTTGCCGACTTCATTTTATCTCCTCGCAGCCACTTCCGTCGCCCCACTCTAAGATCCGCAGGTCCTCGTCGCCCCTGGCCAGGTCCACCCTCGATCGCTCCCTCCTTCAACTGCGCGTCGAACTCCGGACTGCAGCGCCTCAAGGATGTCACTGCTGGCTGTGGCGGAAGTACTGAAAGATCGGCTGTTGAGGACCTTGTCCACGCTGGGTTGCTCTGCGTGATGCCCCTGAGGTCGGCGCCGTCAAGGATCGATTGCTGCAGCCGCAGCTACGATTGTTTGGGGCAATGTCCATCCGACTTCCATGCGGCGGTGTCCTCGTTCCATCGCCAAGGACCGTAGCACTTGCGGCATGTCATGAAGTTGCCGTTGCAGCAGTAGCGGGTGTATTCCCAGGGCATTCCTCCAACAGAGGTGTCTTCACATGGCCTCCCTTGGCGCGATGTCGGTCGATGCCAAGGCTTTGCTTCGACAAGCTTTGGGTTTGCTGTCGTCCTTTTGGGAGCCGCCTTGGACTTTGTCGTCTGGTAATCGGTGGTGGCGAGCTCGTAGTCCTTCCACTTTTGGCAAGCAGTGTCTAGAATGACTTGCCGATGCAACTGGGAGGAGTCATTGGTGTTGTGGAGGAGTTGTTGAACGCCACATAGACATAGATTTGGTCTTGCAGGACTCATCTCCAACCCAGTGGCCATACTCGCCACAAGCGGCGCAAGGCGATTCCTTCTTCCTTTGTTCGATGTTCTTTTTTGGGGGAGCGCTGTGGAACTTGCGTCCCTGCGTCATGCTCGCAAGTTTGCGGGTTGTAGCGGTCAGCACTTCTGCTAACTCAGAAAAATCATGGTCGCGAGGCGCGCTATCGTCCTCACCTGTGGCATCAGCATGGGCGTCATCGCCCACTCTTCCACATTCCCTCCAGCTGGGTCCTCAAAGTCGCCGGGTCCTCTCTTGAGGGCCATCTGGAGGCCCATCTTCATTGAGTGTCTCAATTCATCTTGCCTTGACCTTTCCGAAAGGTCCAGAAACCAGTAGAGGAGGTAGAGGAACTCGACGACGATGAAGTGGTTTTGGGTTGTATACCCTTGCCACCTTTGTTCGGGCGCTTGTCCAAGTGGCCTTGACCGTCCCGGTAGATCACCGCAGAGTGGAGGGCGGTAACCCGGGAACTGCATGAGCAAGGGTGAGGAGATGGCCTCGAAGCTCATTTCTGGGCCGCTGGTCGGCGGTCAGTCTTGACCTATTATACATCCAGGAGACGGCTGCCCCGGTGTCGTAGGTCAGGCTCACATCCACCCCGATGGATTTCAGGGCTGCTTCGCGTCGCTGGTAGCGATTGCAAGGTCCGAAGTGGCTCCTGGTGGAAGCGGGAGATGTTCTCATAGGAGTGTCGCCTCTTGACATAGACCTCCTTTTGCTTGAAGGCGGGCTTCAGGCGGTCGAGGATGTACTGCGCTCCATCACGGTGGTAAACCAAGTCCATGTCCAAGAACTCTACGTGCTGCCCTGCCACGAGGCGTAGAGGGCGAGACCGGCCTCCTTCACGGACATGTAGTGCACTTGGAGTTCCCAAGGCGGACGTGCGTTCGTACCTATCGTAGGCGCGAATGCCATCGGCTTGGAACTTCCATTGCCGGGTCGGTGGTGCCCCACGGCGGTACTTCACTCCCTTGACCGGCCCCGTCATCGAAGTCGTCTGAGGAGTCATTGGATGCTTGTCCCAACCTGTTTTGAAGGGGAGGTTCACCTGGAGGTGGATCTTCTCCTGCGAGTACGATCAGGTGTTCCGAACGGTGAGGTTGTACGAGGAGTTGGCTCAGGGCTTCCACCAAGGGGACATAGAGCCAGGTTCCGGTGTCGATCTGGCGTCTTGTAGGTTTGTAGACGTCGTACACCGCTTCGCTATTGCATTTGGTGCAAGACTTCATTCAGTCTGTCTCCACGGGTGGCGAGGCATCTGAGCAGCAGCACAGGGCAACGACGGAGGAAACGGCATGCTATGCTCTAAAGGTCCAAGGAATCTACTGTAAGCTCCGCTACCAACTTGTGGCAGTGAAGGTGCGGCCGGACAAAGCACCTCTTCTCAAAGAACTAAGCTCAAGCGGGCCCGGTCTGCGGGCGAGAAAACGTGACAGGTCAGGTGGACGAACGCTCAGTCGCAAGGCTCTTACATGAAAAATTAACAGAAACCATCTACAGTAATCTGACTGCCTGTGGCGCCAGGCGGCACACGGCGACAGAGCAACAACCTCCGCACGCAGGGAGGGTTTCTAGGTTGGAGGCCATCGCTAGTAGGTTGGAGGCCATCGCTTCTAGGTTCGAGGCCATCGCATTCAGACTGGCAACTCCAAGCAAAAGAGAAGCAAAAAAACTTAACTGCTCCAGCAGGGCTTTTGCACTGAACTTGTTGGCCTGGCTTTTGCAGGAAGGGCTTTGCTGCGGCATCTCCGAGCAGCTCCGCAAGGGAAAACTTCAAGCCCTGGTCAAATGTCCAAATGCATTGAGAACGAAGGATATGCAACTTATTTCATTCATTGGACAAGGTCTATCTTAGTAGCTCAAGAGATCTCAAGAGCTTCTGGACTCCCTTTCAATTCAAACAGTCAATTCCACAAGCAAAACAGCTGGCTGCGTCACCTTGATCCATATTCTGGTCGCTTCCTCTAGGGTTTGGAAAATAATTACCCTGCAGTCTGCGCAGCTGACAAAAACTCCAGCATCCTCGCGGGGCATGTTTGCATCGATTTTGACACATGTCTGAGCAACTATGTGCATCTCTTGCTGCTCCGATCTGCAGTATGCATCGCAAAAACCACAGGCTCCTGAGGACTGTGGATCGGGCGAGCCAGAGGCTTCAGCTCGCGTGTAAAAAAATCCTGGAGGTGTCATCGTTCGGCGTGATGCCACAGCTGAATGGGCATAAGACACTAACAGAACAAACAATATTTTTCATGTCTTGACACGCTCACTTCAACGACGGAGGGTTATTCCCATGGTTTTAACCGAAACAATCATATATACTTAAAATTTCCATCATATATACTTTTTGGAAATCTGTTGAATGCCCTGACCATTGCTCCATGAGGGTATAAGCGCGAAAAAGATGCATTCATGCTCACGAACTTCTCTAGAGGCAGTAGCACCTGACGCCAGTTCAGCAGTCCGCGATTCTTGCACGTCAACTGCATGTTTCGCGGACAATGCCTGAAGCCGTTCACATCTTTCAAGACTTCCCACCTCGTCCAAATCTATTCGGTATACATCAACAAACTTCTGAATGTCCTGCATTATATAAGAGGTTCTCGACTCAAATTGGCCCACGCATGCATACCAATTCAAAACGATATTGAATTGGGACAAGCAAACAATGCTTCTTCATCTGGACAGCTCCTTCTTGCTGGATGGCGAGCGCATTTTCCGCCCTGCATGCTGCGTTATCCTGCACGTAGGGAGTACTGTTTGTAGCCCTCATAGGACTCAAAGGTTCGTTATCAACTGCTGAATACTGCAAAATAGCCGCTAGGACCTGGTCACAAATACAGCATCTGGATTGGTTTCAAGTTTCATGCTTAACGTATGCTGCATATGTTGTCAATGCCAGCCACTAAAATAAAGGAGCATTGCCAAACGGCACTAGGCTGCAACCACCAGGCCTTCGCAAACAACATCTGAATGGGTGCGCAGCAACCACACCACATGCTGATGTGGCGTACCTTGACTTGATACTTCAATAATGCGAGCAAAATGATGGACACTTGGAAGTCCGCTATACTCTTCCAGACTTGGTATCTAGTTTGATTGGGATGAACAACTTTTGGGGCTGTGGCATAACTACTACTTGCGTGTGGGTCCGAACCGGAAACACCTGGGAGGACAATTTCTGCATGTATAAAGTCACGCCAGCCCCCTGAAGGATCCTGAAGGATACCGGATACTTGTGTGAATTTTACCGATTGTAGCCAGGGTGTATTGCGTACAGTTGAT